CTATTTTACTTTTTCTCCTAGATGCCTAATTAACATATCAAACTCAACAGGTCTAAAAAAAATTAATTCTCATTTCTCAAATCTCAGTCTGTTTTCTTTTAAATCCCAGCAAATGTTTTGTAATTTACCCAGATGTTGGAACTAAAAACCTGGAACTCATCCTTGCTTTATTCTACTCATTCATTCGCTATTTCTGATCTGATGAGTTTTGTTGACTCTTCTTCAAAATAGATCCCAAGGTGGTATAATTCTTCCATTTCTTCTTCAGTTTTTGGTAAACACTCTGATGGAAATAAAATTCAGATTTTGCCTTCAAAATCTTGATATTTTCAAAAATATCAAGCCCTAAAAGATCTGGTCAATGGATGTCTCAGCCTACTCACTTTCTCTTTAAACATCCAGGTTCTGTGTCTCGATCCTAATTGTCATGTCAGGTCCTCAGCTCAGAGATTATACTATTTCTGTGAAGTCTTCCCTGACCACTCAACCTAATTAACAATGTCCTACTTTCACTGTCCACCATTCTCCATTACCTCATCCTGTTTTGCTCCTTCATAACACTTGTCATTGTAATTACTTTATGTGTTTGCTAGTTTATTTTCTCTCTACTGCCATACCCTCACAATTAGAGTGTAAGTTCTGAGAGAAGCATTCTGATTTGTCCTGTGTACCCCTAAATACCTAAAACTACAATATTACTTGAATAAATGAAAGAGTAACATATATGATCCCATCCCTAGATATGCCTAACTGTTGGCTGCATTAGGCAGAATTATTTAAATAAGATAAACTCTGTAGCAGAAACCCCCCCCCAGAGAATCACTGATGATGTCAAAAGCTCCACCATATTCCTCGCCAAAACAATATTAAAGTTAACAACAAACTAGAAAATACAAACTAGATCCAATCAGAAATTGTATGTTGATGCGTCAGTAACATAGAAAAATTACAAGACGGAAAGTGGGGAAAAGTTCTTTCCTACTCTCAGGGAAAGATAACACCTCTCCATGACTAAGACGAATTGGTCTCCGGTTTTTTTGAGGATAGAGCTGCTGCCAGCAGTTTTACAAAGAGGCACACCTAATGTTTATGCCAAAGGAACTTTTGTAACTGGAGTTTTGAAAAAGAGAAGCAGCAGGGATGCGGGTTTTCGAATTGTGTGGGTTTTTGCAGGATGGGAATGTATAAATGCTTCTGGCCTAGGAAAAAACAACCCCACAGAATTTTTATGCAACATCACGTAAACATTCACCTCAGATTGTGACTTTTGTCTGCAGGTAAATCTCATTTGAGAATATTATTTACCCTGAGATTGACAACAAATCTGAATTCATTTAGAGCACACATGATTTGCTCTCTTTTGTTTCAGGATCTCTTTCAAATAAATGTCTGTGGGCTTCAAACCATGGTTTATGAGACATTCAATTTTAATTCTTTGAAGGTGAAGACTGTGTCATTTGCCCACTCTCTGACTCTACCTGAATCTATTGCTGTGCTGGCTGCACAGCAGACACTGTCCCTTCCTTTCAAGGGTATGTCATGGAAAGTAATGTTGGATAGCAAAAACAGCAAGATTTCCTTGAGGGAATAAGAGTTATTACAACATGGCTTTCTCTTTTTTCTAATTTTTAATGCCAAGAACTTCTTGTATTCATTTTGTGAGAAATCAACAAAGGGATTTGGTAGTACACTGTTTCTCTGTTAAAAAAAAAAGCAGCTTTCTTTGGGTAAATCCATATTTATTTTTCTCTTTCCTCCTCAATTTGCATTCAGAGAAGCATTTAGAGATTATTTCATACATATTGTCTTTCCTCCAAGAGATTTAGGTAAGAATTAAAATTAAAAATTAAATTAATTTAAAACCAATTAGGTATTCTGTTTTCAGTTCTCAGTTCTTTCAAATTCTCTGAAGCTATAATATTTTTCCAATACTCAATGTAATTCAAATTCAGAGAGGTGGAAAAGAATATTTTATTTCATTAAAAAAGTACAAAAAACCCCCCAACACTCTGAGAAAAAGATTTGTAGCCAATATGAAAAAGCTGTTAATCCTTTTATTATATAAAATGAAAGTTCAAACAGATAAGGTAAAACATTATGTACCCAAAAGATTAATGAGTAAAAGACTCAGAAGAGACATTTTAAAAGGGAAGTACAGCTGGAAAACTCTCCCACCTTGCCAATAATCTTAACAGAGAAAATTAATATATGTTTGCTTCTCGTCTATAAAATTATAAATAAAATTAAATAATTATATTCCTAATTTAAAAACATTGAATTGTCCTTTGTTAAAAAAAAAATACTATTGAGAAGGCCAAACAAACTGACTTTCATTCACAATATTCAAAACGATGGGCCTTGGAGCGTGGCCTAATTTTTCTCCTACTCTCCGTGTTTCAGAACATTTTGAGGGGGCTTGAAGGAGCTTCTAGTTTTCCATGAAGTACTATTTTTAATAGCACCTAGTACTGATAAAACACTGTGCAAACCATACTCCATTGTGAATGGGATTCCAAATCATTTCAACCACTTTGAACAGCAATCTGGTAATGTGCCATAAAAAAAAATTCTCAAAAATATTAATACACTTTGTCTATGAACACTCATTTCTGAGATTCTATATTAGATACTTCATGAAGATACTAATTAACGCATTATTTATGCTGGTAAATTTTTATAAAAAATAAATGCATGTACTCAATCATTCAATAAGTACTGAGGAAATGGCCTTACATGAGCTGTTGTTGCTATTAAAAGATGAGAGGACACAGGAGTGGCAGGATGCACAATTTAGAAAGAAGATGAAATCTTCATTAGGTAGCACTATGTTTAATTCTATTTATAATTATGGAAGCTCATCTGAAGTTGCTTTAATCTTACTTAGAAGGTATTAATTCCCTAATTTAATGTAGTTCAGGTATCACATATGAAAGCATAAAGAGAAAAGAGTATGAAATTGTGGCATCACAATTGCCACAACTTAGTATTGGAGATCTATAGGTAAGACCACAACACTCATCTGAAGAAAGGTCTCCCTGAAAAAAAAAAAATAGCTCAAAAACATAAAACATTTTTTTGGAACTCCATGTCTTAGCTATGAATCTGTGGAATCTAGTTATTTTAAGCGCTCCAGACCAAATAAATAAATAAATAAATAAAAATAAGGATGGTGTCTTCTACAAGGAAGTGAGTCAGCAGCTAAACTGGAGGTTTCTCCATGATAAATTCCAAGCTTAAAATGAATAAAATAATTTTGAACATTTTTTGTACTCATCTTTTCTGTATAAGCTTATATTTTTAATAATGTCTTATTTAAGTACTTCCAGCCTAGTCTCAGCTGTGCTATTGGTAACTAATGAAATAATTATGTGTCAATATTTTAGCCAGAGAGAACAAGAGATGATATCCCAGCCCACTATCCATCCCTTAAACAGATGTGATGATGGCAAAGCTGATGAGTGAGAGATCCTCTGGTCAAGGGGTTTCCAATCCTTGGGCCACGGACTAGGCAGCATAGCAAGAGGTGAGCGGCAGGTGAATCCGTGAAGCTTCAACACCATTCCCCATTACTCGCATTACCACTGGAGCTCTGCCTTCTATCAGATCGGTGGAGGCATTAGATTCTCATAGGAGTGCAAACCCTATTGTGAACTGCACATGCGAGGGATCTAGGCTGCAGTTGTATGCTTCTTATGAGAATCTAATGCCTGATGACCTAAGGTGGAGCTGAGGTGGTGATGTTAGCACTAGGGAGCGGCTCCAAATACAGTTTAAAATTACCAGTGAGGCTTGATTGCACATAACCATAGTAAATCAATTGCTTTCAGATTCATATCAAAACTCTATCAGTGAGTGGCAAGTGAATTGACGTACTTCAATTGTACAGTTGTATCTGGTGTCAGACTTTAAGTCAGAATTGACACTTATTTTTTAGTCCACACATGCCCCGTGCATGTTTACCACTTCCACCTACACCTCTTTTTTTAAATGGTGAGTTGTATGACTATTTTATTATATACTACAATGTAATAATAATTAGAAATAAAGTACAAAATAATTGTTATGTGCTTGAACCATCCCAAAACCATCCACCCTCCCCCTGCTACCACTGGTCTGTGGAAAAATTGTCTTCTATTAAATTGGTCCCTGGTGCCAAAAAGGTTGGGGACCACTCTGTAGTGTATGGGGGGTGGGCCTCAAAACAAAGAATCTGTTGTCCCACCCCACATGAGGAAACATTCTCTATTGCCATTCTTGTGGGAGCTGATGTGGATTTGATTAAAGAGTCACTTCTTTGTAGCTTCAATAATGTTTAGAAAATCATAAAGTTAAAAAATAAGCATGTGGAGATACAAATGAGCCCAGAAAAAGGAAAATAACTTATTAGGGTAAAAAACAACAAACCAATAAAGAAAACTTCAGGCTATTGCAACTCTTTCTATTTTTCAGATGGGAGTAATTGATCAAAAGAATATTAGAATGGCTACTTTGGGTGGGGAGACAAGTGCAAATCAAAGCATTTTTTAAAAAAACAAAACAAAAAGGTAACCTAATGTAATCGTTCATCTAAAGAAAAAATAGAAAAACAAGTACAATCAGGATCATTCTTTTTTTATTTTAAGAGTAGCATCATAATGGATTATTTTAACCTTGGAATAATTGTTTTCTGTAAACATGGTATGCAACCAATTTCATAATTGGATGCATGCTAGCTTTATAGAAATTTTAACCAGTCTTAAACACAAAGTAGATTGGATTGTGGGTCTGGTCTATCCTACTACACTACAGAGCACATTAGTACATTCCTGGATAGCTCTCCTTTTATTTTTTCTGACTTGTTTTCTATTTATTTTAACTTGGGATATTGCGTGCATCTTTGCAAGTCCGCTAACCTTTGCTATGAAAGAAGGTGAAGTACTAACAAAAAATAACAAAAGCTTTTTCTATCTCAGTACTTATTCTTTCTGAAATAGTGTTTTTGTGATAATGATTACTCTTACCTTAGGTTGTTTGCAAAGGTAGCGACAAAGTTCTCCAATATATTGAAACACAGTCACATTATACTTCTTGCAGTCACTCCAAAATTGGCTTGCTGAAAATTTCTTTTTTAACACACAAGTGGCACCTATAAGAATAGACTAAAATAAGTACTTGGGGAAAATATCCAATGATAGAATGAACATAAAACACAAATGATGTTGCCCTGTCTAGAATGTTTGTTCACTTTCAAGACTTTATAATTCACTATTGATCATTTATATCAAGCTCGTTTGAAAACATTGATCTTATTACCCAATAACTCTTTAAAAAATATTGTAATTCTATATTTCACTGAAAATATGCTTTTTTACACTACAAAGGATAAAAGCAACAGTTAAACTAAGAAGGAAGATTACAAGTGTTAGTGCATGACCACAGGTAAGAATCATCCTTCTCTATAGAGACCAAGATAAATTCACTTACTCTTGAAGTTGAATATGCACATATTATTTATTTTTAAAACCTTAAAGCAGTCTCAGTATATCTTGAGGTCAAGAGTTAATAAAAATAATAAGATAACATGGACAAAAAAGTTCATCAATGACTGCAGAACCTAATTTTAACAATACAATCTGACAACAATGTATATCCACAGAAAAATATAATGTCTTGACCCTCATCTTTATTTATGGTGGATATTGGTCATATTCTAAATATGCTATTCTAAAAATTGCTTTATAAAATATTGGACGGATGCCAGTAGTAGCAAATGACCTCTACTATTTATGTATTATTTTAGGTCTAGTAATTGACACATAATCTTGCATGTTTATGAATGCAATCTACTGAGTCACAAGCTCTGCCAACTAATTTATCGGGTGCCTAGGATAGATTGCTTGCAAAGATGGCCTCAACAGTTCCTTCTATGCACTTACCTTTCCAATGTAAATTTGCTCCTTCTTCCTTCAATTTGTTCCCCACTCCTAGAATCTTGAATCCCATAGGCCTATGACTTGCTTTGATCAAAGGAATGCTGGTGAAATAATCTATGTAACTTCCAGGCCTAGAACTTAAGAGTTATGAAGCTTTCACTTTCACTCCCTTAGAACATTCCCACCACCATTTAAGGAATGTGGGGGTTGAGAACATTCCCACCAATATTTAAGGAATCTGGGAGTCGACCATTTGAGGTTGAATGACCACAAAGAGATAAATGCCCAGTCAATAACCAGCTCCAATCACATGACCAAGTCCCTGGGGAAACTGCTCTTTTCACCCCAGGAGCACACTGAGTATGTCATGAAATTGTGTCCTTTAATAAATATTGTGTTATACTTACAGAATATAAAAGCAATCATTCTGAATTCTGAGAGTTTCAAATATTAATTAATATTTGTCCTAATAATTAGACATTTTGAAAACTTATCACAAATAACATAAAAACTTACCCAACTCAATACATCCAGCAATTCCTAGGAGAGATCCTGAACTGTGATACAGAGGGAGGGTTATATAAATAATGTCATCAGCAGTACAGCCAAAAGCCCACAATCCAGCAGAACCTCTTAAAGCCTGTAGCTGACTAATCACAGCTGCTTTTGGTAGACCTAGAAGAAAAGAAAATAACAGGAAATATATATATACATATGTGTCATATATATATACATATATATATATATATACACACACACATATATGTAATAGAAAGAAAGGCTACGCTGGTATCAACTATAATAGTAATTGATACAAAAAAATCAAAATAGTCTATATGCTTTGTAAAGGTGGCATTGCTGACTTTATTAAATTACCTTTGACAGGTTGCTAAGTAGACTGTATCTCAAATTCTATGTCATTTTATAGTTAGGTCTTTCTGGTTGGATCTAAGATTCTAGGTAAAACATTATTTTTATGCAGGATTTTGAAGGCATTGTTCTATAATCCTCTGACTTCCAGTATACATATTGGAAGTCTTTAGTTGTTCTGATTTCTTATTTTTGCATGCAACTGGTGTTTTCACTTTTGGAATTTTTGTTATCTTTTAATGGTCTTCAGTAGTCTGTAATATCTGATGACTTAGAGTGGGACTCGTGTTATTTTGCTGGGAAATGTATAAGCATTTGCAGTCAAGAAACTCATATCTTGCAGTTCCAGGTACTTTTTAAATGTGGGAAAAAAATGTATACAATCCTTCTTTTTCTTTTTTTGTATTTGTTCTTTTGTGCATACTTGTCCTCTTGCATTTGTTTGTTGGTTCATTCTTTTGTCTTTAGAACCCTTGCTCTTTTGGACTGAGTCATTAATTTCCTAATTTTTTTTATACTGTTTTCCTTCCCTTACCTCTTAATTTACTTTTTGTGAGATTTATCTTCCAAACATGGTATCTCTAAATAGGTATTCCTCTTTTGGTAGTGTGTTATTTTTGTATTATTGATACTTTATTGTCTCAAATCATTCAGAATATTAATAATAAATTTCTTTCTTTTTTTTTTGAATTGGAGTTTCACTCTGTTGTCCAGGTTGGAGTGCAGTGGTGTACTCACAGCCACCTCAGCGTCGACTTGGTAGGCTCCAGCTATCCTTCTGCCTCAGCCTTCCAAGTAGCCGGAACTATAGGCATGTGCTACCACACCCGGCTAACTTTTGATTTATTGTAGAGACAAGGTCTTGCCAAGTTTCCTGGGCTGGACTCGAATGCTCAGGCTCAGACAATACACTCGCCTCAGTTTCCCAAAGGGCTGGAATTACAGGCTGAGCCACCGAACCTGGCATCCAAACAATAAATTTCTAAAAAATCTTTTCTCTGTATCTTGTCTCTGTTTTCTCCAACATCCTTTAAATCTTTTGGTTTATATTTGTCTCAGTCCACTCTAGGATATATTGATCTTTATTCATTCAAGGATAAATTCCGGAGGATTTTTTTCAAATATCTGGTGTCCTTTGACAGTTTTTACTTAAAAGTGCAGGTACCAAAAAAACAAAACAAACAAACAAACAAAATCCTAACTAAAATCTTTGGATGCCTGAGAGGGACTTACTTACTAGTTGGTTTTGTTGTTCAGGACATTTTGCTAGAGGATCTATCACTATCAGTGTCTTTCAGCTTTTATAGTGAAGTATTCAGGCTCCTCATATAAAACCAATCAAGTGTTAAAAAGGAATTAATATGTATACAGGTTTATCTTATTCCCCTTATTATACAACCTCTGCTCTCCAGAAGTTCATCTTTTCCAGAGAATAAACCGCATGTTTTCTTCCAGGGTAGATGAAGCAAACCAAGGCTATCGTGTTTCTTAAACAGAACTTTCCATAAAGCTTCCTGTTTATAGTTCCACATTTATCTTCTACTCTTTGAGGTACATGGCACCCACATTTCTGAGGCTTTCTGGGGTTATATGGAAGCAAATTTGCTTTCTTCAAGGTTTCACCTTAACCTTTAGTTTCTTGGACCTGCTGTGTTAGTCATGACATGTATCATCTCTTTCTAAAATTTTATTGCAGTCATCTCTTGTTCCATGATTTCTCTCCTGCCAGTCTATGTATGTGTTCAATCCGTCAGTCTCTAAGCTTGTTACTACTTGTTGGACTTGATTAGGTAGCCTCAAGAAACTAAGGGAGAAGCTGTCTGAGCCTGGACAGTGCAGTCATGCACATATTGACATTTTCCAGTTCACTTAGCAAAACTGTTCCAACCACAGTAAAAATAAAATAGAACACACACACACACACACACACACACACTACTCTTCAGTCTAAAAGATATCAAAATTAGGCCCAAACAGTTTTTTTTAAGTAAGAAAAATTTTACTATGCAATAGTAATTGCTTACAATACTACCTAGGCATAAGAAATTGATAACAGAATACTTTTATTATGTGTAAGTCAAATTCCCAATCTTTAATTATAAAAGCCTATTTAGCTGACCATTAATACCATTCAATTTTTCCCAGGAATCGAGTTTAACATTTGTTATGAATTCTCAAGCAGTTTTGTTATTCTTTGTTGTTTTTATTGTTGTTTACCTAAAAAAAATAGGAAGTTTACTTGGATTCCATTTTATCTTACTCCAAACCTGTAATGTCTTCAAGACTTCCTATTTGTCACATGATCCACATACTTTAACCAACATCAGGAAAGCTGGGCTACAGTTGCTTTAAAAAGCAGCCATAGCTGGATTGTGTTTAGGATTTAATATAGAAAACTGTTTTCAATAGATTAACAGATTTTTAAATCCAGAAGTTTAATGAGAAACTATTTATACTAATCTCTTCATTTTAGATATCAGAAATCTGAGGGGTCAGAGAAAATGGCAAAGGTCTTGCCAAAAGAGCCAATTATATATCACGCACTGAGTAAGAGGCCTTGGTCAAGATGTTCAGACACTCCAGTGCCCTTTGTACTACTTAATATTAAGAAAATCTTTTCAAGTGAGACAATGGTCAAATTAGCATAATGCCTAGTGAGGTTCAAGTTAAAACATTTTACTTTTTCATATAAGTTGTAGGATCTAAGAAAGTTATATCTTCTCTGAGTCATGCTTTCTCAGATGACTGATCAATACACATGGCAGAAAGTTGATCAACACTGTTGCTTTGCAAATGTAGCATTCTTTTTAAGCAGTAAAAAGAATTGGATCATACCTGTTGTTCCGGAGGTAAAAATATAAAGCCAGGTAGACTTGAGGCTGGAGACAACATGGTGCCTGCGTGGCACAGGCTCTTCAGATGAGGTGCTTAGTTTTTCTTTGAGTGAAATTATGCCTTGTGGAACAGAATCTTTCATTCCCCAAACATTGATATCTTTTGGGAGGCTTGGAAGGATTTCTTCTATAGTTTCAAGCAAATCTAAAAACCAAAGAAGTAGGAACAGGTAAACAAAACTCAGATCATTCACCTTAGGTTTGTTTTTGGGCATTGAAACAGGGATCAAATGTAAATAAAATACTAGTTTTCTTCTCAAGTTAGATGAATAATATCATAGGCATTTTATGGTTTTCTTTCAACAGGACCAACTAAAAAGGAAATTTAGTTATCACCTGATTGATCAATGCAAGTAGGCCTATTCAGACTGAATTTTAGAGATTCTTCTATCTTAAATTATGTCCCCTTCAGTTTTTAAATAATATTATTTTTATACTCTGTTTGAATCTAAATTCAAGCTATTGCCCTAAAAATATTTCTTGAAATAAAAGTTGGCAGATAGTTTTTCCAAACAAAAAACAAAAACAAAAAAATAACAACAAAAATCCTGTCTGTCACTATTTAGTTCCAGTGTAACACAATGCATTTGGGAGAATTCCCTGTCTGCTCTGAAATCACAAAATCATTGTGGTTTAGAGACCATTTCTAAGTTAAAAGTTCAGTGAGGAGATTTAGAGATGATTTTTTTCCCCTCTGGATCAGAATAATTAAAGATAAAAGCCTTTGAAAGCAAAAGGGGAAAAGAATACCATCCAGAAAAGGCAACGAGACCCATAGTGCAAGGGGAAAATATGACTGGCAGGTGAGAGTGGCCCCTCCATCAACAGCAGAAGAATCCAAGGCAGAACAAAAATCAATGAGGAAAAAAGATAGGGGAGCATAAAAATCTGCAGAATTTATGTCCTCAGACCTGAAGAATAGGAATACTGATAAGATCAAAGGTCTGGGTTGAAATTCAGGGTTCAGAACGGAAACAGGCTACTTTCCTTAGAAAGTATTTGCTGTAGACATAACAGAAGAGAAACTGTTGAGCTGAGATTATATTGAGGTAATCTATGAGATTGAGCCAGACCTTCTTAATCTGACCATTAATGTAGGAGAAAATGTCACCTGCTCTGGAGGAGAGTAGTGGTGAAAAAGGAGTGGGTTCTTAACAAGGAAATATCAATTATTAAGGTATCCAGCACCTTATGGATTACAAAAGAAAAAAAAATCATCATTCTTGTAGAGTCTTTTGTGTAAGCTAGTGAGGCATCATTTTTTTCCAGAGTAGAGAAGGGTATACAGTTGTTTACATTTTTTAACTTTTTAAAAACGAATCCTTCCTTTACTTTAATATGGATCTCTGACAGTGAAAGCCACTTTGTATATTCTACATGGACACTCTGATTATATTCTTATTCCTTTAATATGCTATACTTTTATAAGGTAAAAAGAATTTCTGAGTGCTATATTGCTCATATTAAAATCTGCATTCACATCCTGGGGAATACTAAGCAATGATAGCCCACTGGCCTTTTGGAATTAATGCAAGGAGAGCCCAGAATCACTGGCAACCACTGGAAGCTAAAGGACACGGAAAGATTCTTTCTTGGATCCTTCTAAAGGAGCATGGCGCAACCAACACCTTTATTTTGGACTTTTATTCCCAGAACTGCAAAAGAATAATTTATCTTGCTTTAAGTCACTCATTTTATAGTACTTTATTATAGCAGCCTTAGAAAATCAATCCACCAAGTTTACGGGTTGGTGGACAGTAGAATTGGCACTCTAACCCAAGTATAATCAACTCTAAAACTAAACATTTCCTTGTAAGTGAAATCAATGCAAAAAAAACTCTATTAAATGCGAAATAAACCCAGATAAGAATGTTCAAGTACTGTTTATGCGAATACAAAACTTTATACCTAAAGCAATTGTATCTTTTCTAATTTTTATGTCAAACTAAAAATAATCACAAGGTATATTCTGCTTTGAATCTGAATTCAGAGTACTACATTGAACATTGTCTTGGAAATGTACATCAGCATCTGGTTCTCTGAAAAAGTCATCTGTCAGTCATTGTTTAGTTCTACTCTAATGAAATATGTTAAGGAAAAACTCCTGTGTTTATTTGTAAAAATCTATAACCATGACTGATCACAAAGAGGCAGCAAGAGGAATATGCCAGATGAAACTAGGCAGTTCATAAATAAAACCTGAAAGAAATGAGAAGGAAACATAGAAATGATAATGGAGTTGACATGTTGCAGGGGGTAAGGATTGGTGGCTTAAGATGTTTGTTAATATTTTATTTTTACAACAAATCTAAGAATCGACAGAAAGTACTTAACATTTACCTCAAGCTGCTGTATACAGATTGCTTGGCAAGAAAAGGGAAAATCTACAGGGACGATAGAAGGAAAGATAAGTCATAAAGATGAAAAAGCAGAAAAAGCAAAGGATTTTGAGTGTTTTTCCAACTTAGTCTTAGATTTTGTTTTAATGACTTCTTCTAGTATTTTGAACTTATAAGTACAAGTCTCTGAACTGACTCATTTTTTTTTTAAACCTTAATTTCAAATCTCTTGTCTGGGATGATAAATTAACAGCACAAACTTATATATGTTCTTAATGAGATATATGTTTAAATTTAGAAAATAAGTGCAAAGAAAGTTACAATATGATTAATTGTGGCTCCAAGTCTTTGTTAGAATTGTAGACCCTAAAGAAACAGTATTTACAAGGAGAGAGACTGTTTGCAGCAAGAGAAAAACGATGTGAGCAGTTTCCTTGGAACCAGAGAAAATGCAATTTCATTACCTTCATAAGTTAAATTAAACTTACTCATTTGAGTCACTTAGAATTCTCAAATAGAATTTTTTCTAACCAAATTTTTCTTATATATTGGTAGGAGGTGTGAATGAGAATAGTGAAAATTGAAATAAGTGTGAGAAAAATTGGCTGGGCTCGGTGGCTAAGCCTGTAATCCGGTGCTTTGGGAGGCCAAGGTGAGTGAATTGCCTGAGTCTGCGGGTTCGACACCCACCTGGGCAACTTGGCGAGACCTCATCTCTACAATAAATCAAATAATCAATAAAATTAGCCGGTCATGGTAGCGCGCACCTGTAGTTCCAGCTACTTGGAAGGCTGAGGTGGAAGGATCGCCAGAGCCCAGCAGGTCGAGGCTGCAGTGGCCAGGAGCATCACTGCACTCCAGTCTGGGCGATAGAGTGAGACTCCAACTCAAAAAAAAAAAAGAGTGAGAAAAATCATATAGAAGACAGAGAATCATTAGTAACTTATCACTGCCAATCTTTCTTAAAATGAAAATTTTTGTTTCATTTTGAAAGTAAATTCTGAATATTAAGTCCAAATACACAATAGTATCCGTTTAAATACTTCAAAGAAACTTGACTTTGTCTCGTAAGGATTAACTCTTTAGTGAAATGTGCTACCACTGAACTGCAAGCACCTCTATAGAATGATGTGTGTTTTACTCTATCCTTCTGCTCACTGCACCGCCACATACCATGGATACTAGACAGATAACCTGGTTAATGAACTGAGCTCTGCACCATGTGACCCACTGAGGATGCAGGTCATGATAGTAAACTACCACAAGAAAACAAAAGTGTTGGATTTCCTATGACCTTAACCAAGTCTACATTGCAGGCTTCATCTCTCTTTTCAAAGCAGCATGTTCTCACAAAAATTATGCATTTTTCTCTCTCACATGCGGTACTGTGTTAAGTGGGATTGCAAATGCAAAAACAGGTAAATGATGATCCCTGACTACAATCCTTTAGCACTTTTTGTGCAAATTGATTTCTTGTTTCTACATCATTTTGTATCTCTTATTCACATTTCCAAGGTTGTAAAATCAATGGGTAAAGATTTCCTTCTTATATTCCACGAGTGTGAATTATACTATTTATTTTGTAATAAACATTCTTTGTACTGTATTATTGTACATAAAACAAGTTAATGCTTTCAAATGTATGGGAAGGAAATCAACTGATTATAGCTCAATACATCAGTAAACATTTAAACTTTTATGCACTAATAATCCTAATATGCAATTTGGCTATAGACTTCTGGCAAGATGGCGATGGGGCAGTTTGGTCCGTGAAAACCTCCTGGAAAAAGAACACCCATAAAGACTCTCACTCAGCCGGGCTCGATGGCTCAGCCTGTAATGCCGCGCCTTTGGGAGGCTGAGGTGAGTGAATTGCCTGAGCCCGCAGGTTCGAGACCCGCTTGGGTGGCGAGACCTCATCTCTACAATAAATCAAAGAATCAGCCCGGCGTGGTAGCGCATGCCTATAATTCCGGCTACTTGGAAGGCTGAGGCGGA